TCCCTGAAATTTTCAAGTACACACACCTGAAAAACTGATTACAATTTAGGTTAATGTACACACTTTCTGAATGACATCTCACAATTATAGGACCGCCTCCGTGGTGTAGTGGTTAGAGCGTCCGCCCGGAGAGCGGAAGGTCGTGCGTTCGATCCCCGGCCGCGTCATACCAAAAGACGTTAAAATATGGTATTGTTGGTCCCTGCCTGGCGCTCGGCATTAATGGGTACAACAAGGACTGGTCGGCTCGGAGTCAGTATAATGTGTCTGAGTAGGGTATTCATGCTTCACTGCGGCATGGTATCTCAGTGGGCTAGCACTATAAAACCAGCTTCAGTCTGGGCTAGTACAAGCAGCCGCACATACACATACACACGCATGCACGTCGTCATATGAGCGAAATATTCTCAAGCACGACGTTTAACCCAATTTCACCTCACCTCACCTCACAATTATAGTCCTTTTCAGTATACTCTCTGACTGAAACAGGCATTATAGTTATCTTTGAAATATTCGGGATTAAAAATATACCTTGTGATCTAGATATGTTATATTCTAACAGCCCATGTCAGGCATAATGCTTTATCATCCCTTTAACATGTTAGGGATTAAAAATATTCCTCATGGTGTAGATCTGTTATATCGAACAGCCCTCTCATCTCATTGGTCTTATCCTTATCCTTTGTGAAGATGATCTAATCTGTTTAGCTGTATCTGTTGTTGACAAGGTCATTATAGACAATAATGGGCCAGAGTTCGTTTGATATTGCACATTTATCGATGGCTTAGTTCTTTATTCTTTATTGTCCTCGGTCTTGATGTTGGTTGGGTGTTCTGAAGCCCTATGGGTAAAGTGTACCTGCTTCTAACCTTGGGGTTTGATTCTCAAAAAGGTCCTCGAATGGAAACTGATTTGGGGTGAGATGGTAAAAGTATAATCTATTTCTTTGCCAGTTCTTTTGGTGGGGTAGCCGACTGGTTAAAGGTGTCGGCTCGTCACGTGCAACACCCGGGGCTCGATTCCCCACATGGGTGCAATGTGTGAAGCCCATTTCTGGTGTCCCTCGCCATGGTATTGCTGGAATATTGCTAAAAGTGGCGTAAAACGCAACTCACTCACTCACTCACTCTTTTGATAGATTCATTGATCATTCAGCTAAGTAGGTCCCAGTCAGATCATTGCTTTGTTTAGGTTATAGTTTGTACCAAGATCAATGCTCATACTGTTGATCACTAGAATGAGGAACTTTGTATTCAGCAGCGTCCGTCCCGATGTTTGTATATATTTATATATAGCTGGAATATTGCTGCGTAGCGTTAAACAACAAACAACAACAACAACAAATAATTTGTAGACCTTTGTTCACGTTATCAACCACTGGTCCCAGAAACTGGCACCACAATTTTGAAGTTCGTTTTTGACTGAATATTTGGTAAACTTTAAAACCTGATCTGTGTTGATATAAATGATTTCATGACTGAGCGATGATCGAGTTGAACTTTAGTATGACCTCAGACAGACCCTCCCAGCATGCTGGTAATTACCAGATCATTTTGCTGATATGTGCACCAACTGTCATCCATCATTCTGAGGTATGATCTTGACAGATGAAATTGACCTCGCATCATGTGGTCAAATGGTCACCTCAGACCACCGCCAGCAAAATCACCAATATGAACATATTTACACAAACATGTTGATTGACCTCCTGGGTCAGCTGGATATGGAATATGTTTGGCACTGGAAGGTAGATTGTTAATTTGGTATTAGTTTTGTTTTTGTCACAGAACTTTACATTTGAAGAAAAATCCTAAGGTTTAAGGTTTATTGGATGTAAAATGGTGGTTGGGTAGCCAAATGGTTAAAGCGTTCACTCGTCATGCCGAAGGCCCTGGTTCAATTATTATTTACTTTTTATAGTTTAGTTTATTTTGGTGTCATGTGTACAGGTGGATAAAATACATATACATTCAATGTGTGGTACCCATTTCTGGTGTCCCTCGCTGTGATATTGCTGGAATATTGCTGAAAGTGGCGTAAAAACTAAACTCACTTATTCAATGGATGTAAAATGCTGCATCCCATTGGACTGAGTGTGATATCCTATAACATGGAACACTATTTCCTTCTTGCATAGTTATCCTTTGAAGAATACCAATTTTGAAATCTATTAATCTCCATGAACAAGGTTATGTGACACTGGTTCCCATATTTGGTATGCAGTGTTCTACCTTGACCTACTAAACTAGGTGAGGTGAGGTGAGGTGAAATTGGATTTAACGTTGTGCTTGAGAATATTTCGCTCATATGACGACGTGCATGCGTGTGTATGTGTATGGGCGTCTGCTTGTACTAGCCCAGACTCAAGCTGGTTTTATAGTGCTAGCCCACTAAACTAGGGGTCAAGGTTACCCTAATAATTGATTTCAAGGATCTTACAGCAGACAAGAGGGTTGTGTAAAGTAATAAAATGGACTAAACTGTTGGACATGATTACTTTATTTGCATACATTTAAATGTATTGACAAGAACTGGTACAATGATAATTATGTCTCGGGATGCAATATTGTCATCTATGTCTATTCTACACAACTGTGTTTATTGGATATATATTTCTGTGTCATGTATAACCCCGGGTAAATGTTCCTTGTAATTGCGTTCAGGTATATTCATAATTTTCATGACCAGGGCTCCAGATAATTTTTCAACATCAGGAGTACGTACTCCTTATTTGTTCAATATTGAGTACTGGAAAACCTAAGTGTACATTTAGAGTACTGAATGGAAGCTAATGGACTATCAGTAATCTTGTGTTTCGTTTCATATATGCACCACAACATTGCTACTCTTGTGTAAACAGGTCAATAAACAATAAAACAATACTTTTTTCAGATAAATACGTCTGTAAGTGATTCTAAGACCGTACACCATTGCTGTGGTGCGTATCTGCTACGTTTTCTAAATTATTTCCTACCGTATCGTGCATATTTTTTATCCGTACATACGCCGATACAGCCCTTATCTGGAGCCCTGCATGACTATACCCAATCTGCCATGACCTTGACAACAGTTATACAGTTATAGTCATGTGAAAAAGTTCGGTGTTTTTTAACGTCCCTTGAGTGCTACAACACAATCGGCTGTTGGGCAATGTGTGGTTTCAACAACACGAAACACCGCCTTACAATTTAACGCCTGGTGAGCAACAGTGTCAGCTGAAAGTTCCCATTGTTGGGTGAACCAACACTCAGCTCAATACCATACCAGAACTCCTCGACATTGCTTATATTGTACTCTAAATGGCTATTCAGTATTTAGCCCCTTCAGTACCTGCCTGTATGTACATTCCTCTGTATTTACCTGCCTATTGATATACAACCCTGTAGGGAGAATAGGAACCAAACAACCTGGACTGGTCGTGAGAGGTGGCCAGGTGGTCAGACTCTGGGTCATGTTTATAACGTGTTTTCGTATCTCAGTGGATGGGATCATCTTTCATGTTCACAATATCGATCATTGGTTGGTCGTCGTGTCTTGTTCAAATGAAATTTACTTACATGCTTTCATGATGATGTCAAGAGAATATTCGAAGAAGAAAAACTTTTATCCACGAATGATTGTGGTTATTGGGATTTGTTGTAGCTGTTGTTGATAGTGAAAATAATGAGACACAGAAAATGATCGTGCGGTTTATCCTACACCATTTTAACGCTGATAAAGCTTGATATAGAATCTTTGATGATGATGACAATGACTGACGATAATGATGACTATGGAGATGATGATGGCGCTGTAGAGAATGAGGGGCGGTGGGGTAGCCTAGTGGTTAAAGCGTTTGCTCGTCACGTGCAAGACCGGGGTTCGATTCCCAACATGGGTACAATATGTGAACCCATTCAGGTGTCCCCCGCCATGATATTGCTGGAATATTGCTAAAAGCGGTGTAAAACCCACCTCACTCACTCACTCACTGTAGAGAATGGCAACAATGACGATGATGTTAACGATGATAACTACAGTGTTGATGATGGTGCCGTCATTAACAATGATGAGGATGATGATGATGATGATGTATCAATATATATTTCCCCATTATTATACTGCATGATTATATACTGAAAAAATCGACTCCAAAATACCTATGAAAACACTGTCAGATTTGTTATATGAAAACCGTATTGACTTTTTGTTGAATTTTTAACTTTGAGCTCGTCCAAATTGTACGTGAAGCTGAACATTTCAACCAACAGACAGCTGTGGTTACTTTAGGGGTTGCATGTCCATGTCGCTTCGGGAAGTGACAGCTATGCACAACCAACATGTGACATGCGCAGCGGAATGTGCATTACTGAGTGTCCCACACACATAGACCTCACGTCACACCAGGGGAACAGCACATCTTGTCGGAGTTGACACATACATAGTGCATTAAAAACCCAAACACTAAACCTCGTGAAATGAAACGGGGGTTGTCAGTTTGAAGTTGTCGCTACTTCCGACACAACAGTTCATTCATTCATCCTTCCTTTCTTGCTCTCTTCCATCCATCCATCCATTCATTCATTCATTCATTCATTCATTCATTCATTCATTCATTCATTCATTCATTCATTCATTCATTCATTCATTCATTCATTCATTCATTCATTCAACCAACCATTCATTCATTCAACCAACCAACCAACCAACCATTCATCAAAAATGTCTTCACATCATTAAATTATCCAACGTGCATGAAATATACAACTGTCAATTACTTGAAACTGATTAGCAAGCATGACTGAAATCAGCACCATTCTCTTCTAGGTCCTCATCTGTTTGTTATCACAGTTTAGAATTCACAAGCTTATAATGCATTTCATAATCTTCATTTCAGTGTTGATTTTGTCGTCACATTTTGAAGGTGAATGTGGTGATATTGCTGAAAAACAATTTAAAGTGGTTCAAACTCAACTCACTCACTCATTCACAGTGATGTTGTTACCGACTACTGTTTCAGATCCCACAAACAAAATGTGCAAAGACTGCGAAAGTTATTCCATTCTGTTCGCTTTATCTCAAAGCTTCGTCCCTGGTGAGATTTTCGCCATAAGCATGGAAATATTTGCAATCATAATCCTGATAACAATAACAATAACCCTGCTCCCCTCTGTTCCTGCTTGTCTCGTGTGATCTAACAACTTTTACAACCTACTGCAGCGTCCGTGTCAGCATGTATAGAAAATTATCTTTTCATGATTTTTAATTATGATTTGAGATTTAGGCTTTATGATTTCAGATCTAAAGACTTGTTTTAAAAGATTTTCTTTTATTGTATATCAACTCAGTCTTGGTCTGAACTTGGTGTCACAATTCGTTGAGTTGTGTCCCTTAGTTGTTCTTGGATCTGCTGACCTTGGGTTTGAATCAAGGATGAGTCCCTATTATAATCCATCCATGAAAATCTGGAATAGAATTGGTCCTCAGCAACCCGTGCTTGTCGTAAGAAGCAACTAATGGGATCAGGCTCATTGACTGGTTGACACATGTCATTGTATCGCAGTCACATAGATGGTTGACACATGTCATTGTATCGCAGTTACATAGATCAATATACTGATGCTGTTGATCACTAGATTATATGGTCCGGACTGGATTATTTAAAAAACCACAGCCATGTAGCTAGAACATTGCTGCTCTGTAAACCAAATACTGGCATTAAACCCAATTTAATATATTTGAAGTGTGATTAAGAGTTATTTTTATCATTGACAATGTGATGTAACCATTTTCAATCATAGCCACTAAGGCTTAAAGAAAAAAGCTTGTGGTTCGCATTTCCCGACCGACCCTAAAGATTCCCGCCGAGCCTAACAATTTTACTCACCACATAATAAATTAAATTTATTTTCTGACACATGAGTAATGTAAAAATATTTTTCCAAAAAAACACAAAAACCTACCTACCTATCCTAGTTCTGAAATGTAGGAAATCGGAACCACAACATTTATTTTTTTGGGCCTAATACAATTCCTGCTTCAAGCCCCCAGTTTTCTGCTGCCTTTGATTGCCATCAACACTATTATATCATAGCAGAAAGAGTTGGTTAGCCTAGTGGGTTAAGCAGCTACTCTTCATGCTGATAACCCAGGTTTGATTCTCCATGAAGGTACAACCCAGACAAATCCTTGCTCCACTTCTCTTACTGGGAGGAAAAGGGAGTATTACTGAATATTGTATTGAAAGCAGTCCAATCTAATGCTGAAAGAGCGATGGCCTGTTTAACATTCACAGAGTCCAATTATTATCAAAAGTTTTGTGTAACCTTGTATGCAGTAACGTGACAAGCTGTATAATTCAGCAAGGTGTGTTTTGCCTTTTACAACTGAAATTGCACAATTACAGATTTATTTAACTAATTCCACTGGAGTATTCTTCAGCAATAATCAGTGGAGTCATTTTTGTGCAGTGTTGCTTCCCTTGTCCCAGCCAGGATCCGCTGATCAGAATTCCTGAATATGATTCTTTGTTGATAAGGACTATGCCTGACAAGATGTTCAGTTGCTTTGCCAAGGTGGCAACATTCGTGAGCTCTTGGGGCTTACCCTGCTCTTTTGGCTGATGTATCCATGAAGGCCCGGGTTAGAATTGATCTTCAATAACCCTGGATGCTTGACATAAGAGGCGACTAGCAGGCTCGCTAGCTTGGTTGATACATGTCATTTGTTCCCAGTTGTGCAGATCGATGCTCAAGCTGTTGATCACTGGATTGTCTGGTCTAGACTCGATTATTTACAGACCACGCCATAAAGCTGGAATATTGCTGAATGAGGCGTAAAGCTTAACTCACTCACTCACTTTTCGCTGATGCAGTTCAAAGGTCATCTTGAGCAATCCAGTCTATTATAGCTTCATTCTAATTTCATAAAAACCCACTAGCTGGTATTCTCTCATCTCTGATGCAGTTCAAAGGTCATCCTGAGCAATCCAGTCTATTATAGCTTCATTCTAATTTCATAAAAACCCACTAGCTGGTATTCTCTCATCTCTGATACAACACATGAAGTATCATGCTCATGCGCTTAAGTCAACCAATCTAAATTATTTCTGAAGGAAAATTTAGCATGGATCTGAACTCAAAGGTTCCTTTACTATAGTTAATTCTGATATGCCATGACTGATTAACTGTACAACTATGAAAGAATTTGGTGATCCTTTATTTCTTTTGAGCAGTATATTTTGAACAAACTTACCTTGATGGTACTGACAAGGTGTGATTGTCAAATACACTATTACAGCTGATTGACAATGAAATATTTACATATCATTATCCTTAATCTCGCACCACAGAATCATGATAATATTGATTGTGTTATAATGACAATGTATGATGGAATAATCATAATTCTTATCCTTAAACCCGCACCACAGAATCATGATAATATTGATTGTGTTATAATGACTATGTATGATGGAATAATCATAATTCTTATCCTTAATCCTGCACCACAGAATCATGATAATGTTGATTGTGTTATAATGACACTGTATGATGGAATAATCATAATTCTTATCCTTAATCCTGCACCACAGAATCATGATAATGTTGATTGTGTTATAATGACACTGTATGATGGAATAATCATAATTCTTATCCTTAATCCTGCACCACAGAATCATGATAATGTTGATTGTGTTATAATGACACTGTATGATGGAATAATCATAATTCTTATCCTTAATCCTGCACCACAGAATCATGATAATATTGATTGTGTTATAATGACACTGTATGATGGAATAATCATAATTCTTGTAACATAATAACAAATAATGACATTCAAATTTATTTAATCATTAATATTTCTTCTTTTATTGAAATACTGAATAACTCAGATGGTTAGAATAGATGAATGTATTATAAACAAAAAGTTACAGATCATGAATATTCATTAGATATGTTCATGAATTTGTGTGTTCAACCATTACTATGAAGTCACCAAGTGTTTCCGTTCATTTAATTATTTATCGGACACTGTGTTTGGCGACCTAAAATTTTGCCGGTCATAATGAAATTTGCCAGTTATATCCTATTGCCATACTGTAAGTACTCATTTAAAGTTATTTTTAGCCTGGGTATTTCCGAAACATAACAATTTTTGCGACCATGAAAGCACAGCCAAGACTGTCATTCGCTTACCCATGATTTTTTAAATTTTAATACATGATTATTTACCGGACACAGTGTCCGGCTGGCTTTCAATTTACCGGTCCCTAACAAATTGTTCCGGCGATTTTCAGGTATATACCGGAAAACGGAAACACTGCTTCATTATAAAATATTGTAATTCCCAAAACATTTCTGATCCTTAACTTGTTTGTTTGGTATATTTTTCATGCAAGCTATTCTAGCTCTTCAAGTTACTGAGAAAGAATGTCTTGATACAGAAATCCAATTTGTTTATCAGTTGTGTTATCTATATTTGTTGAATATTTTATGACGAAAGTAATCAAAATAGTTAACAGATCTGCAAGAAACGCTTATTTTAAAGCTTGTCAAAATGGCGATCTTGCAAACTGAAGCAGTGCAAAACATCTAAATAGCTTGCACAAGAATCATGTTACGTTTCAGCAAACCTATTGTAAAGAGAGACAAGAATTTGTAAAGACCCGACATATTCGGCTAGGTTTTGTCCAGGAAAACCCAACACTGGGGATTTACATTACGTGTCCCTTACAATAGAAAAAGACGTGGATTTTCAATGAGAGATTGCATGGGCTTGATATGAAACCCCAAGCTAACCCCCACTGTTAGTTTAACCACCTAACCGGAGACCCAGAATTGTGATTGAAATTGAATGGCAGATAGCATGGACGAAAGAAACTGATTTGATAGCGTTTTGTTCGTCTTTTGTCACTGTCCTCAGCATTGGCTGTTCTCTGAGACCTTGTTCTTTGTGGCAAGGGGAATTAATATCGAAAGAAACACTTTTTGAATTTTTTGGTTTGTGAAGTAAAAGAATGCAGAAATTTACTTGAGATTCTAAACCATCCACTTGTCAGGCAAAATGGGAAGAAAAATATTTTGATCAAACTTGGGATTTATAGAAGTTTGTATTTCCTAAATTCTGAGGTGTTTTAAGAGATAATGTAGAAATATGCATTTAAGCCTTACCTGAGTTGCCTAACAAAAACTTTATATCCTTAAGTTTATGTAAATTAACAGAAATTGGGAGATTTTCATATTTGTTTTGTGAATTATTACTTACATTTGCTCCAGACTTTGGGCTGATTATTGGCTTCTCTTCTGGTTATGACAAACCCCTGAGAATATGTTCAATCTAAAGACAAACTTGTGACATGAAGTGCATCATGGGGAATAGAACATGATTTAGTCAATTTTAATTTTATGTATTTGAGCACCATTAAGATAATTTTTAACATGTTTGTATTTTAGAAGCTGCTTGATCATCTTATTTTCTTAAACTTTCGTTTGTGAAAAATATTTTGTTTTGGATGCATTAACAAACTAGCAGCATGTGGTTCGATTTTTAGACTTGTTTCTAATGGCGTGTTTATATTCTTGGGGACAAATAACATTTTAACTGGAGTGAAGTTGAGCATTTGTTTAAAGATACGATGAGTTGATGTAACAAATTGAACATTCCTATTGACATGATTGTAGACATTTGTAAATGGATAAATTAGCAAGTTATTAAAATTATGTTATGGTTGTAATATTATTTCAACATTATATTTTGCTAAGATGCTTGTATAAATTCTGTTTCTACAAACAGAAATGTGGTAATAATTCTGTTTTATGTGATAACCTTTTTATAGAAATATGATTTATAACTGAATCATTTTCAGCGTGTTAAAAAATAAGGAAATGTTTTCAAATGCTTGGCACGAGGTCCTCCTCCTGTATATAATTGGAATATTTTGTGTGTTTCAGCTTGAGTGAGAGCTATTTCACTGTTCGAGGTGCAGCTCTCATCCTACCTCAAGGAGAAAGGCCTCGGAGGTCATCGAAAAAGAGCCATGGTGGTAAGTCCGAAAAACTAAATTATGGACATGCACATACATGCTCACTCATAGTGTAAGTTACACACGGAGAGGGAGTCAACTGCTTTGAAGACGATATTGTCAACTGTTTGTTAGTTTGTTAGTTTGTTGTTCGACACCACCTTCACCAGTTGTCCAGCTATATGGCGGTGGTCTGTAAATAATAATCGGTTCTGGACCAGACAATCCAGTGATTGACATAATGAACATCGATTCACACATTGAGATAAGATGATTTATTACCCACGTGGTCAACGTATGGGTAGTTGCATACTAATCTCGTACGTCACACGAGTGTCGTATCGTGTTGACCTGTGTCGTAAAGACTTGACCTGAGATTCTAACGATTTGATTGGATAACCGATGACCTCTCAATTAGGTCACATTCTGACGTAACTATTTTTTCATTCATAAGAAACATGTGAATTCATTCATTCTACAACTTAAATGCATTGTGGGAATGTAAACATTGCGAACGTTTGCCGTGTCGCTGTTTAATTGTGAGTCGAACTGAGACATTCAACCGAGAACATCTGTGCTAGAACTGGTCTTCACCAGCCAATACTTGTTGAAGAGGCAACTAACGGGGATTGGGTGGTCAGGCTAACTGACTCATAGAGAATACTACACTTGGTCTCATTACATACGAATTATACGAAACTCGTGACCTTCCTATGGTATCTGACCTTGCTTTCGCTCGGTCAGATACCATAGGAAGGACACTCGTTGTCAACTGTGCTATTCAATAGAATGTCAGTCACCATGTTAAATATAACATGCCTTCATACCCATACAGGGGAGGTAGGGTAGCCTAATGGAGGTTGGGTTCGATAGACCCGGGTTTGATTCCCCACATGGGTAAAGTGTGTGAAGCCCATTTCAGGTGTCCCCAGCTGTGATATTGGCAGGAATATTTCTAAAAGTGGCATAAAACCCAACTCACTCACTCACTCATACCCATACTGCAGAAACTGCTGTTCATAATATACTATTCACACTTTGCTAAGGATCAAATCATGGATTCAACAGAAAACTATGATGTGGGGTCAAATTTGGTTTAAATATCTTAGCTTATTGTAAGCATGGATCCTAGGTTTCAGTATGTCATTGCATCTTGTGGATCCCATACCTGCTATTGACAGGTGTTGTGTACTTTTCAATGACTCTTTCCATGATTTGCAAAATGGTTGATTGGTGCCATGAAAACCATTTTTATGGTTACTCATGTATCAAGTGCATAAGGTTAGATTAAAGTGACTGTTTGCCTAAAGAGGGGTTACCATATTATTATTTATCCAGTTTTAAATGGATACAATTTCAAATTATAAATCTACGTTTAAGTATAGTTGTGAATTTTTGTGATCCTTAGCAAAGTGTGAGTAGTATATTATGACTATTGCCTGGTCCAGACTGAATAATTTACAGTTTGGAATTCTGCTATGTGCAGTGTTACACAACAAACATTCAGTTCATAGTAAATAGTGATCAGTGGGGTATTTAAATGATTATGTCACTTACCATAACATAATTTATATTGATTGATGGGTACAATGTGTGAAGCCCATTTCTGGTGTCCCCCACCGTGATGTTGCTGGAATATTGCTATAAACGGCGTAAAACCAAACTCAGTCAGTATATTGATTGAATGCCAAGTAGCTTGTAGTGAATGGAAGCATAAATATCAGTTTCACCCCTTTTGTTAAGGATTGCCTGTTTTCAAATATTTCTAAAACTTAATCCAACTTCCTCAATTACACGGAAGAAACCCACGGAGGCAAAACGTCAGTTCACATGACACCACTTTCCTCACAAGTCTCCATCCAGCTTTCCATGACGGAAAAAAGGAACTTTACGTTTCTTTCCTGGACGAAGACGCCAGCGAACATGCCTCGGTATTGACGAGGGGCACAGAGCATATTTGTGGTCTGGTCAGGTCACCTATTTTCCACATTGCACCACTGGACTTTGTTTTCAAGATAGAAAGCCTGTTTCTAACAAATAGTCTATGTTTGAGTGCTTTGTTGTCAGGGGTCGTGAACTTTTGATACTTTTTAGGCACTACTGTATTAGGTAGTCGAGGTAATTGCTGACTTTCAAGTCTTTGTTTTTGGAAATAATGGGCCTTTATGAAGTAAATGACTATTGTGTATGCCCATTAAATGTAGCACTGAGTAGTATTGAGCTGGATAATGGTAGTTTGTAAATAATCGAGTCTGGACTAGAAAGCTAGTGATAGATATGATGAGCACTGTCCAGCATCAGAGTATGCAAGTCTAGAATGATTGGGCAAGGCTAGATGAATTTAAAAAATGTTCTGGCTCCATTTGAATTTTTAAAATATTTCTAAAATTTAGTGTTAGTCCAGTCAGACAAAGCCCTAACCGCCTCGGGGGCAGTGGGGTGGTAGCCTAGCGGTTAAAGCGTTGGCTCGTCACGCCAAAGACCCGGGTTTGAATCCCCACATGGGTACAATGTGTGAAGCTCATTTCTGGTGTTCCCCGCCGTGATGTTGCTGGAATATTGCTAAAAGCGGTGTAAACACCCAACTCAGTCAGTCAGACCTAACCGCCTTGGCCCCATTTAAAAAACATCTTAGTACTAAGGTGATCTAACTTCCATACTTTACAAAGACTTATGATGATTGTAGTGGTAAGATTGCTGAGAGGAACAGAATGATGAATGACAAATTGCCACATGCGATTAGACTTATACTAACTCTATTTTTAGTACTTTACGTTAGAAACAAAAGAAAAAAGTAGGGGTAGCATTGTTCGAACAGAACTTAGAATTTCATACACCCAGAAATTGTTCAAAATTATTATTATTATTCATTAAATAATTAATTAATTTTTTCTTTTGAGGGAAACTATCATGTGATAAGATTGTTTTTTGAGAACTGTCATAAATACCTGAAAACACAAGAATATTGCAGTGGTAATGATGACAATATGTGACCATATGCCAACTATGTACAGAAACGGTTACATAATGCTGAAAGTGCATGTGGTGTGAAGTTCTTCGTCACAATACTTTGTCACATGTATTTACATAAGTGCCCACTGTTGACCAAACCAATTTGTGCAGATGCAGAATATTTGTAAAAGTATTTATCATTATGTCCCCATATCAGACAAAATCCATCATAGTTTAGACAGTGAATGTCCCTTTAATTCCTGTTCAAGTCAATTTGTCCCACAAAAGTCAACAGACTTGCCTTAAGGTTAACTCCTGTAAACAGTTCTGGTTTAAGTCCATGTCACCCTGCTAGCAGACCCCTGTCATGGGTACTGAGTGCAGGCGCACAAATTGACGGTACACACCTTGGGACGACTACGCTGGGGTCCTGGACCCTGTTTCACAATGTGATCATGGCACTAGGGGTATCATAACTCCCGTACTTTAACACAGATGGCCCTGGGTTCTGTTTCACAATGTGATCATGGCACTAGGGTATCATAACTCACATACTTTAACATAGATGGCCCTGGGTCCTGTTTCACAATGTGATCATTGCCATAGGGTGATCATAACTCACATACTTTAGCATAGATGGCCCTTGGTCTGTTTCACAATGTGATCATGGCACTAGGGTATCATAACTCACATACTTTAACATAGATGGCCCTGGGTCCTGTTTCACAATGTGATCATTGCCATAGGGTGATCATAACTCACATACTTTAGCATAGATGGCCCTTGGTCTGTTTCACAATGTGATCATGGCACTAGGGGTATCATAACTCACATACTTTAACATAGGTAGTCCTGGGTCCTGTTTCACAATGTGATCATGGCGCTAGGGGTATCATAACTCACATACTTTAGCATAGCTTTACCACTCTCATAGTCATAGGCGTAGTGATTATAGCAACAAGTCAAGTGTTGAATTGTATACACCTTGAGACTCCTGATTTGACATTTGTTTACTCAGCATGATAAGGATAAAGACAGATTCAGGTGACTAAGTTCAACCTTGGGAATGATAACAATGATCGTGTAACTAAAAGTCATAAACACTGTACATGGTTTCTCTGTGGTTGATGTCACAAGCAATTCTTTGTGGGCCAAAATAAAAGCAAATTTACAAAGAAATTTAATGCTTTTTCATTGTAGTGAGAAATGTTCTTTATTCACAGTGGCGGTCAAACATGAGTTTCCTTAATTGCTAGACACATACATGCCCCACCTAATTGCACATTTCATTCTAAGTGTTATTGTGAGAAATGATGCTATTGATACACCGATCACGTAGAACTGTTTACATGTGCCTAGACTCAACAGCATCCCTTTAGCGACTCATCTTAAAAAATTCTGCTGATGATGAAAACAAATAAGGCCTCAGTAGCTCTCCTTGCTGTAAGCCTAGTTCTTCACATGTATGTGTGACATTCTAGTGCATATGCTTTGGAAAACATGCATATAGACTCATGTTATGTGCATTGATATTTGCTGTGAAGATATTTTTGACAAACCTCTAGCAATATTTACAGTGAATTTTCTAATGTCTGACTGCATGTCATGTATACCTAGCTGACTGCATACTTCTTTCTAAACAGAAAATGTTTACGGGTTTCATCTTGAAAATTGATGTGAATAGTTATTAGAAAATTTTAAGCATGTTTCTAAAGGTTTTGGGGGCGGTGGGGTAGCCTAGTGGTTAAAGCGTTGGCTCGTCATGCCGAAGACCCGGGTTCGATTCCCCACATGGGCACAATGTGTTAAGCCCATTTCTGGTGTCCCCCGCCGTGATATTGCTGGAATATTGCAAAAAGCGGCATAAAACTAAACTCAGTCAGTCAGTCTAAAGGTTTGGTGAACTGAAAGACTGACATAAACTTGTTTCTTGGCCAGGCGAACTAGATGTAGGTGCACAGTTTCGTAAGTCTGATGATTTGAAATTTGCTTCCAGGCGACATCCAGCACCACCTCCAGTCTATGCTGTACCTGCTCCGACATGAAGATCGCATTAAAGTTGTGAGTATAGCATGGACGCTTGTGTTTAGGGCAACATACATTGTCTTAGGTGTTGCAGTGTCTTTAGACTAACGCTAGTCTCTGAATATATAATTTTGATTGAACAAATAAACCTATTTAAATTGAAAAGGAGCCCAAGGCAGACCAGAAATTCAGAGATTTCCTGAACCTGGGGAAATCTAGACTTGCTTGATTTAGGGCTTTACGCTGCAGGGATGGCTAGGCTGTAGGGAAAGTAATATGGTTCAGGGACTGTGAGACAGACTAGAGTTTCTTGAGCAGTGTTAGAACTACAGGGTGGATAGGATCCACTGATTGTGTGTTTCCAGCTTTTTTGGAAATAATGGGATTTGTTTTTATTGAAGAAGTGGCAGTTAACATTTCTATAATCATAAGAAATCTGCAACAGAAGCAGAGACAATGGTACAATTTGTAGCAATGAGGACTTTGATGTCACAGACTTGCATGAATTTCGGAGCCTGCGTTTGAATCTCAGATTCTCATAGATTACCATTCATGTATTAGTGAGTTTCACTGGTGCGATATAATTAAAGCAGTGTAGGTGTGGTGTCAACTTGCTCATGCATTAAACTTGATTTGTTGATATTGTTATCTACATCTGAAAATTTGCCCTTTGTCATGTTCAGCTTTTTTCTTTCGGCCAAAAGGGAAAGGAAAGTGACCACCAAACAAGTTTTTCTTTTATCTATTCCTTTTGCTTTCCAGAATTGACTACTTTTAAGTGCTGACTTTAAAAATCATATTTTATTTATTCTATTTTTTTATTTAGATAGCCAAAACTTTAGGCAAGTTAAATTTAGGTCTGAAGAGTGTAAAATGTAATATAGGGCCCATATTTCATGCCTGTTGTCCTAGAAACTGAATTGTTTTTTCCTTCTGTGCAGGCGGTCAAGCTGGAGCCCTCTGGCGTGGACGGCCATCAGCGCTACATGGCTCTTGTGTCCACGGTGGGGAGGCAGGACACTGAGGAGTCGGTCATCCTCGGCATCGACTACGTCAAGGACATCTCCACCATCGGTCTGGTCCTCCCCATCTACAACGGCACCCAGATCAGACTTGATGGCGACGGGTGGGTAAAATACATTGAAAATACAAGAAAATAGGGCCTACCTGCATTGATTTTCGAAAGGTTTTTCCTGAAAACAGTTTTGTGTTTTTCAACATCATAAACTAATTTTGACGTTATTTGATTGTTTTTACAGAGGCTTCAGTGTGAAGATATCGGCAGATGACCACAAGTTCCTCTTTAAGCCGGTGTCTGTCCAAGCCATGTGGTGAGTCCTGGCAGAGTTGTCCCCCTTTAACCAATCATCTGTGCATTTTGATCATCACGGAGGGATGTGTCACACTTTGTTCAAGCAAATATTACACATGTAACCTATTTTAATAGATACACACTCTTTGTACTAAACCAAACTTTCTCGCCATTAATAGCTACAACATTACTAATGCAGTGTTACGCAGTATTCTCAACATTCCATTGATCTTTAGAGGCGTTGGGGAAGCCTAGTGATTAAAGTATTTGCTCATCACACCGAAGGCCTGGGTTCGATTCCATGCATGGGGGGAGGGTGGGGTGGCCTAGTGGCTACAGCATTTGCTCGTCACGCCGAAGACCCAGTTCCAATTCCCCACGTTGGTACAATTTGCGAAGCCCATTTCTGGTGTGCCCTGCTGTGATATTGCTGGAATATTGCTAAAATCGATGTACAAACATACTCACTCACTGATCTTTACATTTATATCATACCAGTCCTTTGTTGCTATAAATCCAGGTTTGAGTGTAAAAATCTTTCAAGATCAGTCCAAAGTTTGTTTTCATGCCCAACTGTAGAATAGAGGATAACGCTGTTTGTTGTATCTATGTTTTGCTTGTGTTTTCCAGGTCGGCCCTGCAGAGTCTACAGAAGGCTGTGAAGGTCGCTGGAGGATGAGACCTACATCCCTAATGGTCTGACACCTTTGTTGCTACACCAGTGGGTGCAGTACTACATGTCACAGGGTGTCTACAGAAGAGAATAGAGGAGGATGACAACATCCCTACGGTCTGACACACACCTGGGTGCAGTACTGTCAGGTGGACAACTCTACTCCAGGGCTTGTCTCCCAGTGGTAAGTGAAGGTAGTGAAGGTAGAATAGGGTAACAGTCACATCCTTGAAGACTCGACCCAAGACTCGACCCAAGCAAAGGATAATGAGAGTTGCACCTCTAAGCTTGTGAGCAGCTCCTTGCAGACATATACATTGTATGTCCATCGATCATATGTCCATCTTTGACTGGCACAGTAAATGAACCTGACACTTTAGGAGGTTGTTGTGAAGGTCCGACTTCCATTTTTTGTTGAACCAGCGATGGCAGAGTGTGTTAAAATGGATGACTTTGTCTGCTGGCGATTAGGTGCCTGACACTGAGAGTGAGGGTTCGGATCCCATATGGGCCCAACCCAACAAAAGTGCTAGAATCTGTACTTTACTAAGAAAGTGTAATCCCAAATATAACTTGTGCTACATCCTTGAAGACTCGACCCAAGCCAAGGATAATTAGGAGATAAACATTATGTGTTGGCCAATTTCAGGTGTTATTGAGTATTTGAAGCCCGGGAATTCATTTGGAACAGACGGCGTCAGCCGGAGGTTTCAAATGAAATATTCCCGTGCTTCAAATACTCAATAACACCTGGAAATTGGCCAACACATGATGTTATCGACATTGTAAACACAAAAGTAAACCAAAAGGTCCACACACGTATTTTGTGTCTGCTCTCATTGACATCGAGTACGGGTACAGCAGTGAAATGTCATCAGCCGGCCGTTTCGGCTGTCTCTCATGGTAGCATCTGGAACTGTTCATTTGTGACGTCATTCGGACTTTACGTCACAATATGATTTTAATGACGTCATCACAGCTGACGACGTAACAATACAATGGTGTGAGCGATGTTTGTATGTATTAATACGCAGAGAATTTCCAGGAATCAAATACCATTTGATCACGCTTTTCAACCAATCAGATTAAAGAACACATTTGGTTTACCATGAGCATTAAGCCCATAAGCTCATGAGCAGCTCCTTGCAGTGTTGTCCATTGTGTGTCCATCGGTTGTGTGTCCATCTTTGACTTTTTTAACTGGCACTATGGATGAACCTGCACTTCGGGAGGTAGTCTGGCATCATATTGTGACAATGATACCAGGATTTGTAGTTCTTTATTTTTTAGATGATGCCTTTTTAAGCAGATACTGTTTTGATTTAAGAAAGTATAAAACTATGAATCATTAAATGTTTCAGGAACGTGATGGAGGGAGTTGAGATCAATCTGTCCAGTCTGGTGCCAACAACGACTGATGGGTGAGTGGACATTGGTGGATCTGTACCCAGACAAATGTGATCTCACCCTTTGTGGACATTGAGGAACCCTGCCATTTCTTCTCTGAAGCCCATCTCTTGTGTCCTCTGTTATTGTGTTGCTGAAAGCAGCACAAAACAATACTCACTCACTTTGAACATTAAAATACGACACCTGTTTTGAAAATAGAAGTCCTGGAATCAGAGGCAACAAAATGGTCATGGTTCTCTGCATGTCATTATTTCAAATTTGTGTGCTGATCGATGGTCATAGCGTCAATCACTGAATTGTCTGGCCCAGATTTTGTTATTCACACCTGTGTCTCTCAGCTTGGAATATTCCTGTGTGTGGCTCTAAAAAACAAGGGGCGGTGGGGTAGCCTAATGGTTAAAGCGTTGGCTCGTCACGCCGAAGACCCGGGTTCGATTCCCCACATGGGCACAATGTGTTAAGCCCATTTCTGGTGTCCCCTGCCGTGATATTGCTGGAATATTGCTAAAAGCGGCGTAAAACTAAAGTCAGTCAGTCGGTCAGTCAGTCTAAAAAACAAAGAGTTATCACTATGAAAATTGGCTTGTTATGTTATTTTTGCACACTCATAAAACTTGAATGCCTTGCTTAATGATATTGTTGGATGTCTTTCAAAAGGCAGTTTATTGTTGCTGTTTCTAGGGAGGCATCTGAGATGAAGGCAAGGATTAGCAGTAGCCTGAGAGAAGTCATGATGAAGGCAGACCTGGATGTTGCAACTTCCAGATCTGTGAGTAGCTTTCCATCAAACACTGAAGTATGACTTGTTCGTTGTTATGATTGTGGAGATTGATGCTCATGCTATGGACGCTTTTTTACCTAGTTCAGACCTTACTATGGGCATGCGGATGGGTGGCCTAGTGGTTAAAGCAACCTCTCATCATGCAGAAGGCCTGGGTTTGATTCTCCTCATGGGTACAATGTGTGAAGCCTATTCCTGGTGTCCCTGCCATGATATTGCTGGAATATTGCTAAAAGCGGCATAAAACTAACTCACTTGCTACAAATTTTCAAAATGTTGCCTTTCTGAACCTTTCAGCTTCGTCTGTCAGTGGAGGAATCCATTGAAGCAAAGGTTACTGGGTTCCGGGAATATTTTGACTCGGAGATGATGAGGATTCTGGGACAGATGGATGCCCCTTGGGCACAGAATGGAATACTTCCAACATCCTATATCTGGGCACAGAAACTGGAATGCTTTCCAACATCGCATTGTGGGACTGGGGACATAGTTAGTCAATGTAACTTCCAATGTCGCTGTTTAATTGCGAGAGTTGAACTGAGACACTAGTCACGGAACTGAACTGACAAGTCACGTGACATTCCATGGATGCATTGTGGGACTGGGGACATAGTTAGTCAATGTATTATTCCCATGTCGCTGTTTAATTGCCGAGTTGAACCGAGACACTAGTCATGTGACATTCCATGGATGCATTGTGGGACTGGGACATAGTTAGTCAATGTATTATTCCCATGTCGCTGTTTAATTGCTGAGTTGAACTGAGACATTATGTGCTTCATAATGTGCTAAGGAGACTGTACGATGACAACTGACTTGCATCGTGACGTCGGTTACCAAGGGTACATTGGATTACGAGGGGGCAGACTAGAATGGCGTAGTGACGTCAGTACAGTGTGACATGATGCAAAAAGTGTACTTTATCATCTGATAAAATACTGTCGGCGCCTTTCATCTTTTTAGTGAAACAACTTAGAAGTAATGATCAAATATTTCTTTCAGTGTGAAGTACATTCTTAACGTGACGAGGGAGATCGACAACTTCTTCCCTGGACAGCTCAAGTACATGAATATACGTTTGTATGACGTAGAAGAATCACAACTGTTGCCTCATTGGGAGAAAACCTACAGATTTATATCAAAAGCCAAGTAAGGGATTGCCCTTGTTATTATTATTATTATGATTACTGAATGGCTGAAAGTGATATTTACACTTTATTGAAAAACACTATGAATGATGATCTTGGTTTGAACCCAAATTAAGCTAATCCTGCCTTGGCTAAGGGAAGTAACTCTGCAATTACAATTGTTGTGCCAAAGACCACTTCCTAATGTTTGATGATGATGATGATGATGATGATTGATTGATTGATTTCAATTGTTTTCAGAAAAAATGGTTCCAAGGTGCTGGTTCACTGTAAGAGAGGAATCAGCCGATCAGCTTCAACTGTGAGTAAACCCTGAAATTGTCTGTGTTAGTTCTGTCATTCATAACGGATAAGACAAAATTATCAGGGTTGATTTGAGGTTCATGTAACTTGTAAAGAAACTGAAAGTACAACATGTTCAGTGAAATAATTTTTTTATTTTATACGTTTTCAGTAGGTTCTGTTCATCCTTTTCATAAGATAACACACAGGTCTGAGTTTATGAGGCTGAAAAAAGATGTTAAATTGCTTTGAAGACAAACTGTTGAAAACTCAGCTTGCCTCATTTCATTTTAACAATGTGTGAAGCCCATTTCTGGTGTCCCCCGCCGTGATATTGCTGCAGTATTGCTAGTCTCACTCATTTTATCCTCCTCATACATCAGTCACTGGATTGTCTGGTCCAGACTCCAGTATTTAAAGACTTATTGCTTGAATATCGCTGAGTATGGCATTAGTCAACTACCAAAGTCTTTTATTGATCCAGGCTTAGAATAGATCAATACAATCCTCATGACATCAATCATTGGATTTTCTGTCCCAAACCGGATTATTTACAGACTGCTGTAATTTAGCTAAAACACTGCTGAGTTTGGCATTTATCAACAAACAAACAGACAAACAAACTGTCCAGGCTTCAAACAGATACACCGTACAGCTGGAATATTTCTGAGTGTGGTGTAAAACTAAACTCACTCACTCAAATAGATAAGAGGCATCCTCATAATATCAATCACTGTATTTTCTGACCCAGACTTGATTTCTATTTGGCATTAACAAACAAACAAGCCAACAAATGGTCCTCCATTGTTCCAGGTGATAGCCTATCTGATGAAGGAGAACAAATGGTCCCTGGATGATGCATACGAGTATGTCCTTGAACGGCGAAATGTCATTAATCCCAACGATGGCTTCATGGAACAGTTGAGGACGTATGAAGGCATCTTGAGTGCCAGGTGAGTGTTACTGATTCCTTAGCTCTTAGCCTCTGTAGGGTAGCCTAGTTGTTAAGGTGTTCGCTTGTCATGCTGAAGAACAGGGTTCGATTCCCCTCATGGGTACAATGTGTGAAGCCTATTTCTGGTGTCACCCGCTGTGATATTCCTGGAATATTGCTTAAGTCAGCGCAAAACCAAACTCACTCTTAGTCTCCGTGTAGTTGGAGGGAGCACAGCCATGATCAGTAGAATCAGATCAGAATATATCTCTAGTATTCCTGCATGTAAAGAAGCACTGACTATTTAGTGATTGAAACATGTATGGCATTCTGATGTGGCAGAGAAAGTTGCTCACAATATTAACCACTAGTTTGTTTATCCAGAGCTAAATATTTGCATAATTTCTGTGAGTCTCATTTGCTGGGACAGATTTATTCTGCTTTAGTCAACCATGTTATCAGCGTGTTGTTTATTTTTCACCAGCAACCAGAGACATATCTTTAAGTCCCAGTCAGCCGAGAATCTCGTTGACATGAAAGAAGATGATGACCGTGCCAGTGAGGCTGTTTTTTTAGAAGGAGACGATCTCTACCGCGGAATGTTCGAGTCAGGATACAACCCTGCTTCCGAGGAAGAGGTGCTTCGATCATTGGGAAAAGGTTAGCATGTGCTTGACTCATGGATTAATTAATTAGATATGTTAGATATGTACAACTCTTGTTCCAAAGACTTAGGAGATAATTGTCTGCTGGTGTAATCAGATGTGGCGAGTTTTAATCTGAATACAACGTGAAATTGCATGAAGAGACTTTTACAATTGTGTATATGCTCAGGCTTAGAAGACATTCTGGGATTTTGATATGCTCTAAGAAATCAAGATGTACTTTCCTTTTGAGACTCAATCAGTTTGGAGGGGCGTTGGGGTAGCCTAGTGGTTAAAGCGTTGGCTCGTCACACCGAAGACCCGGGTTCGAATCCCCACATGGGTACAATGTTTGAAGCCCATTTCTGGTGTCCTCCGCCGTGATGTTGCTGGAATATTGCTAAAAGCGGCGTAAAACCAAACTCAGTCAGTCAGTCAGACAGTCTATCAGTTTGGGAGAATTTCTTTTGTGTAATTTACATTAGTGTGACTAAAAACTTCAATGCTCTTATCTTTGGCATAGAAATACTTATCCGAAACATTGCAAGAAAGCAAATACTTGTGGAAATTTTCATGTTGTTTTTATTCTACATAATTATTATGTAAATGTATACTCTAGTATATGTTTGAGATATCTCTTTCGAGCAAGGTTAAAAAGTCATACATTTTTAGTTGTCTGCCTTGTTCCTTAGCTGAGTTGTTTCTTCCAGCATGGAATTTCTAATATTTGTGAATATCTTCATGAAGCATTTCTGGGGCGGTGGGGTAGCCTAGTGGTTAAAGCGTTCGCTCGTCACGCCGAAGGCCCGGGTTCGATTCCCCACATGGGTACAATTTGTGAAGCCCATTTCTGGTATCCCCCGCCATGATATTGCTGTAATATTGCTAAAAGCGGCTTAAAACCAAACTTAGTCAGTCTTGGTGGTCTAGTGGGTTGAGTGTTTGATGATTTGTGGTTCGATCCTGGTCTTACCAAAGGAGAGACTGGCATTAAGGGGTTAGACAAGGAATGGTTGGGTTAGAGTGAACATACTGTGGGATATTGTGTTAAACTGTAGGATGTGAAAAGAGTCATGTTTACTACTCATAACATGCTGTAATTTCTGCCTGAGGGATGAAATATAAAGAAAAGGAGATTATATTTGTGGGTAGTATCACATGGATGATAAGGATGAGGTGTTCAGATAACAAGCAGTCATGAAGCATTTCTTGTAAATATTACAGGTAGAGATCTAGAAGATGCTGACATGGTCCACATTGGGGCCGATCTAGAGACGGGATCCCGTAGCACTGACTCCCTAGAAGAGTCCTTGCCAGACATCCCATCACCCACACCAGATCAACAAGATGCTATCTCCAAGAAGAAGAGTTCCACAAAGGGAGAATACTCATTTACCACACAGTATGACGAGGCTGTGGCTACCAGTGGCGAGGTAGCAGGCCTGGATTTGATTCAGGAGTATGCATCTGATGCTGAGGATGAGGCATCAATTGTGTATCCTGTGGGCAGATGTAGCCAGAACGCATCTCCCGTTATCAGTATTAGTGACTGTGGAGGAGGACAACCAGAAGGGCATGGAGATCTGCCTCATGTGTCTTCACAGTCAAGGTTGCGTCCAGACAATAGCTGGATTAAGCTTGAATCAGAGGAAATGGTTCCTGCTCAGGAGGAACCTGTGCTTGGTGATAGTTCCGTTAGCGGGTCTCCTCCTAAATTTGTGGTCGGTGAGGATGTATTCATATCAACACCAGTGCCGGAATCAAAAGATGAAGATGTTAAAATGGGCTCTCCTGTGTTATCTATGGTTAAACAGACTGAGTCAAAAGGTGCTCGAGTTCGCAGTGCTTCCATGGGGGAAGGGAAGGATGGGGATGAATGTGAGAAGTGCGAGAGAGATGCGACCAAACTGTCTGTCAGGAATCGTGCTGCATCCTTGGGGAGTCGTAAAGCAGAAGAGGATGCAGCTGCCACTGACGACAAAGATTCAGAGGCAGCTGGTAGCCAGGATGGAGATAAAGTGATGATTGATAAAAAGGGGCAGCTAGGAATTAGACAGTACTACACCCGTGAACAAATTCCTTGGTGTCCAGGTACTGTGCAAAAGATGAGGTCAGGCTTCTGTAAAAATCTCCCCAGCTCTGATGAGGAGACCGAATCTGGGCAAAAAGAATCAAAAAAGAGAAAGTCTCACCACAGATGAGCCCATCTTGGATGTAGACATTTTGGAGGTCACTGGTCCTCCAGAGGTGAGATCAAAGGGAGATAACTCTGAACGGTTGACACAAAGCTGTGTAGAGTTACCTTCCCATGATGATGAAGATGAGTTTTATGGTTTGGAACAAAAGCGTCCCAAGTCTGTGTATGAGGAAGAGGATATCCAGCTCCCACAGGGAATGGTCCGGATTTTCAAAGACAGACTGGAAGCAAACAGGTAAATTAGCCTCATAGTATTTGATTGCTTGTATGATCATCCACTATTATTTACCACCTGTGTAGGGATAATGGATTAATGGATGTAACTGGTTGTGACAGGGTTAGTTTGTGACCCTACAAAATCAACTTGACCCCTGTTATATAGCCATGATACTTTTGATTGCAGAGCTACTGATGACTCCAAATCTTCAACAGAATCTCGTCCCATTCAGCGATCAGCAAGCCTCAAAGAGGAAAGAGAATCTACAAAGTCAAAACGTTCCGAACGTCGAAAGACTTGCTCTCCAATAATGTCTCCTTCTCATACAGCTCCAATCTGCGACAGAAACACAGAAAATGTGCTCCCAGAATATTGTCAAGGGGAGGAAACTCTGCCGGACCAAGATGGTGGCTCTGAGCCGATGTCAGAATCTCAGTTCTGTGAAGAAAGGGTCAGTGATAGTGAGAAGAATATCACTACAGTAAAATGCGGCAAAGAAGAGGTGCAGCTTGAAAAGGGCTTTGTACAGAAATATAAACAAGGTTTGTTGTGGGTTTATCTCATTTAATTGTGTTTAGGTGAGAGAGGTGGGAAGATTCACTTGCTTGGTGTACAATAACATTTGTGGGTTACAGCTTGGGAGTGAGCTGTACATTGCCTCAGCTGTATCTCAGCTGTATCTCAGCTATATATAATATCTAGGCCAAGTTCACACATATACACAAATCCATTATAACACAAAGTCCCACACAAAAATATTTTTATACACATTTTAGCATTAAACAGTATATGAAATAAGCCAAAATTCCAGCCAGACATCAGGGCTGGTAACTTCAAAATGTTACCAGCCCCATATGGATTTAACCATACCAGACATGGTGATTTTACTCAGATGTATGGAACATCTAAAAAACATTACCAGACCAGCTGTAAATTTAGACCGTCCGTCAGAAATCTAGCCCATCTCGGGCGGTTGGACGAGCCTTTTTTCATACACTGCATTAAAATAGTTATAGCTTGTATTTTAGTTGTTTTCACACTGTTATGACTTTAGATTTTTAGTTTACCAGTGTCTGAGTTGAAAGTAAAAAGTAATTTTCTCTTGGTCTGCTTGTTTTGTTCATAGCAGACTAGTGGAGTAATACACTAGTTGACTGCTAGACTTGGAATATTGGCATGAATATATATTCACATCAGTCTTAGGTCTGTCTTTCAAAATAATTGTACATGATTTTTTCATCTTTTCCAGATTTTGAGAACCGAAGTGACACAGAATCAAGGAAAAGACTTTCCTCAGAGAGCAGTGTGTCTTCCATGACTTTAGAAGCACATGACACCCAACTTTCAACGAAAGACGACACCCTTGGACTGAAACCTCAAGGTCAAGAAACTGACCAACCATTGGCCAGACAGACCACTGACCGATGCAGCCCCACCTCTGACATCATTCCATCCACTTCTGCCTGTGATCCAACAGAATACTCAAACAGTTCAGTTGTATCGGAGAGACTTATCAGAACCGTCAAGGAGCAGACGTCAATATTGGAAGGTAAAGAAACACTTGAACCAGAGATACAACCCGTTTCTCATGTTTCTAAGAAGAGGAAAAAGGAAGACAAAAGTTCCATTGATCCTCAAGTTCGTGCTAAGATGAGAGAAATGGGATCTGAGTTTCTTTCTCAACCCCAGAAAGAACCGGAGGAAGAAGATATTCAGGATTTGACTCTGGTCAAGCAGGTTGTCCGAAATATCGAGAAGGACACAAAGGTGAAGAAACCGGAGAGGAAGATAATCATCATTGAAGAAGGAAAGAAGGTTGAAACAGCTGGAAAAGGAGGAAATCAGCCTCTTTCTGAAAAAAGCAAATCATTTGACGATAGTGGAAGCGTGGGTTTGAGGAGAACCAGACAGTGGGTTAAGGACGGAGGTTCTGCCAGTTTTGAAAGTTCAGAAATGATGGACAAGGATTACAAAGAGAATAGACTTGGTCTGTGCTTGAATCTTGAGCAGGAGTCCGATCTGAGGATGATGAGCAACAGAATTCAAACGGGAACATTTCACCTAGGAGTGATTCTGAATCGTCAATTGTAAGGCACCTTGTTGGGCGTTTCGAAAACATTAAAAGCCCGACTTCTGACTCGACAGATGGCTGTCGATCAAATCGCAGCTCAGTTGGAGAGTTTGGTTTGTGTTTTGTGGATAGTAAGAAAAAGAGGGATGAGGATGAGGATGTTGAAATGAGATCGAAGTTTTCAGGTTTTGAAACATCCAGACCAGTGCGACCCAAATCAGCTGACCATATAGCTAAACATGACCCAAGGTCACAGGTTCAAGTTCATGACCAAACAAGGGACTTGGCATCGTCTCGTGATCATTCAGCTGGATCAGGGAAAGATGAACGACCTGATGATGCTCGTAAAGTTCGACGGGTTCATGGACAAAGTAACCCTGTCACTCAAAGACTGGGTGCAAGCCCTTTTTACAACACAATGTAAATTTATGAAATGTAACCATTTGCCTTAGCATTTCATAGTGCGTTAATTGATCAAAATATTCTGTAATGATTATTTAGGTGACCTGTAGGATGTTATTGGATGGTACTGGACAGTTCATCATTATGTTGATGCTTGAAACAAATAGTGATTGGCCAAAAGAAACAGCCATGTTGGTACGTTCTCCGAAACTCAAATAACCATGTTCGGGGTAATGTTTTTCTCAACCAACAGTCAACAGATCAGTTACTTCTGATTGAGGTTTATTTCAAGGTAAAGAAATTCTGTCATGAAATAAGATGAAGGTCAAGGTCATGACAGATAAAACTGATTTTGACTATGTATCAATGAAGTAACTTGACAATCATTCTGTACCATTCATGAAGATGGTAGAATTAAAAAACAAACAGCTTTCTGTCTCGTGCACTCATACCTCGCAAAACTATGTCTCAGAGGTCACATGACTCCGAATCATCTCGTCCTGTCAACTATACGATGCTATTGTCTTGACAACATTCTTTTCTAACATATGTGTCTATTTAAACCCACAATTTAAATTAACAAGCATGCTTTAGTTTTCAAATGTTTTCCTATAATATGCTTTCAATGTACACTACGAAAAATAAGTTAAATAAAACCCATTTCTTTCAAAGGACTATAGTGATCATACGATAACTGATTGCCTATAGTCATATGCAAAAATCGGGTATTTTTCATTGTAATGTGCTTTAAGTTTATGCTGTTGAGTAGTTAAAGAATGCCTGATTCTATCGTATGATTATAGTTTGTCATGCTAGATTCACTATAGTCGTATGAAAGTAGTATATTTTTAACTATTACAAGCACCAAATATTATTTGCTCGTATGTCTTTAAAATGATGTAAACTGAATCTTACTGAACGATTTTGTGTCATAATAATCAAATGTTAAGTATTGTGGTGTATGTTTTGGTGATCGTGGTCACATACGGCATTACAATCAAAGTTATTCATTGATACAAAGTGTATGTGAATTTAAGGTGAATGTGGATAAAATATATTTATGAAAACAAAACTTGATATCAGCGTATGTGTTTTTTATGATAGTGAAAGCTTTAGTCATGGTACAAAGTTTGGTCCATCCTCAGGGTGCCAGGGTAATTATTATTACATTCCAATTGATACCCCTGAACCACTCTGCTGTAAAACCACAACAGCAACTGATATAAAAGGAAAATGTTGGGAAGGGACAGACCATTTCACGGTTTATTTAGGTGACCGAATTAAAAGCAGATGTGTTTACATAAACAGGTATTTATGTAAGTAAAATAACAGAAAGTATGGAGCAAGAATTTGGCAAGAATTTCATTACATTTGTGTCTGTAGCATGCCATGACATATTTTGAAAATTAAAAGCCCAATCCCCTTTATTTAGACATTTCGTGCTGATGTTTTAATTAATGATTATTGACAAAAAACTCAAATTTTACGGAGTTACAACCAATGAGGATTGTGCCATACAATTAGAAAATTGTTTAGTATAATATTTTGACTGTGGCATGTTTCCCTTTCTGTTTGGTTAGCCCTAATGGTTCTAGGTTGGTCCACACCATACCTTTGTTTGTGTGTTTCACGGAGCTGGCAAACTTCTAAACACTGCCATGTTAAACTGACACATGATGTGAAGAGATGTGACACATGATGTGAAGCAATGTGACACATGATGTGAAGAGATGTGACACATGATGTGAAGAGATGTGACACATGATGTGAAGAGATGTGACACATGATGTGAAGAGATGTGACACATGATGTGAAGTGATGTGACACATGATGTGAGAGACGTTAAAACCAAACCAGTCACTCTGTGATTAAGTCTTCAGTGTCCTCCCATAAGTCAGACAACCCATTTCTTAGACACTTGAAAAAACCCTAATTATATGGTTGAGTGAACAAATTTGGGATTGCTGTTACCCATTGTGAAAATGGACTAATCCAACTTTTACCCCATTAGTCAGACATAAAGAGGAGAAGATTAGATTAGACCAGATTTATTATCTTTTATATATATACCCACATTCAACATTATTATTGTGCAGTACAGACATTTTGGGACTGTCAAGGCTGACTTATGGGAGTTTGATCTTATTGTGCAAGAGATGAGCCAATTAGGCCTAGTTAAGACTATTCCATTATCAATGTAAGTGAGCGCTTGGTCCACCCCAAGTCTACTGTCTAACTAGTGGGGTGTCTGACAATTGAGGTATCACCAAGTCTTCAGTGAAGTGTGAGTGTTCTAGACTGTCAATATGGGATGTAAATGCCCATGGCCTGTCCACCACATTAAGCGGTTGTTTATTGTTTATACCGTGCTGGAATATTCTAGCACATAAGTGGACCCAGGGATGTTAATCGGAACATATCAAGAAACTGTTCCAATATCCACTGAGGATGAATTTGTGATTTGGTTGCAACATATTGTGTTGTTGGTGATGTTAGTGCTTCTGTTATCCAGCTAGGGAGTGATGCTGTGTGTTTGGTTCACTTACTGAATCTATCACTGAGATCTGTTTTGTATGTATACTCTACAAAAAAAGTTAAGGATCACCCCAATTTTCAATATTAAAGTATTTAATTGTTCATATTATGGTCATTGCTAAAAGCGGCGTAAAACCAAACTCAGTCAGTCGGTCAGTCAGTCATATTATGGTCCATATAATACTTAAATATTGAATATTGTGGTGGTCCTTAACTTGTTTCGTTGAGTATATCAAGCTAAGTTAACAATTTAATCACTGGTTTAATTCATGGGTGTTGAACTAATGAAATGGTTAGAATAATGTTTGTTTATTTAGAGTAAGGAATGGTTGCTTATAACCGAATTTGTTAACGCTTGTAAATTATACTTATTCAGATTTCTGTATTTGGTTAGAATTCAGAATTTTAAAGAAAATGTTCTTTAAATGATAATGAGTTGAGAAACAGGTAAAAATGATAAGATCTGTCTTGTGATTCAATGGTGTATACTACTGAACATTTGCTAAGGAAAAAGTAATCTTTAGTTGAGCATGTGATCCTTTGCAAATGTTGAGTAGCATCTCTGGTTTGGGGTTGGTTAAATATATGGAACTTGAGATCCATTTATGTGAGTTCACAATTAATTTTCATGTTGATAAAATGTCCTTCAATTTCCATTCATCATTTGCTTTAGAGAGCAAAATTGATTTTCAAAAATGGTGTGAGTCTTTGCAAATTCTGAACATTCATGACACAGATATGTGTATCATTTCCATTGAAAAACCTGATATATTGAATGCATGGTGTAGCAGTAGTGCTATTAGTGGGTCCAGTTTGAATCCGGCATGGTCAGCTCATTGTCCTGATGCCATCTGAGGTTTGGCAGGAAAATGTTGTCAACACAACTGGAAAATAAGTCAAAATATGACATATGTGATAATATGCCACTCAAAAGAAGTTAAGGACACCCAATTCTTTCATATGAAAACTTTAAACTATAGAACCTGAAAATAGTAATATGACAGAATTGAAAATCATGGCTTGACAGTTTAATAGTAATATGAAAGAATCAGGTGTTGCTTAACTTGTTTGTATGAGTATATTACTTTTTCATAGAGCCTTATAATTATCATGCCTGTTCCGCCATTTTATTTTTCATCAGCAAATTGGAAGGGCAAAATTGATAGAGATTCCGGGTTAGGTTTTATTAGAATGTAGATTCAGGTATTAGAGATGTAGGTTGAAGTTATGTCACCCTGGTAGTTCTTAGAACTGAGGATCTACTGTCAAAATTTGTAATATGGTGAACATTTTTACCAGGCCTTAATCTTGCATGATTTAAAAGTGTATTATAACTTAGCAAGTCAGAGAGAGTGATATATTTACAAAATGACCCCATGAAAATTCACTAGCCAGTTGGGCCAGTGACTGTTGAGATTTACTGGCCCAATTGGATTTTTACTAGCCACAGGCTAGCGGGCCAGTTGCTATGTCGCACACTGGTAGCAATGCTAAGATCCATTTCTCTTGCAGGAGTGATTTAGACTGTGATACTAGTTGATGACAGCTCTATCTTGCCAACTTGCCTACTGGAAAATGGAGAATTTCACTTAAGCACACCAATATGTTTGTTAAAATTTGATGAGCATATTGTGACTCACCAGGTAACTCTGAATTCCCATCTGTATACTATCATGATGATTGCTTTCTCTGGTATACTTCATATCTATTATTGAATACTGGTTTAAGAGCAAAATTGATAATGGAAGACATGTTGGTTGGGTTTCAATATCCTCAAGCAATCTTCTTGGGGAATACTTCACCCTCTCAGTTGATTCACTTCACTGAAAGTACAGTGCAGGCCCGGAACAAGTGTTGAATATCTGTATCATGCCTTATGAGCAGTGTTTGCAAGACTTTAAATTGCCAGTTGGCCATCAGGGCCTGCTGCTGCCTGCAGGCTTTAAAATAAATCTACAGGCCCTGAATGAAATCAGGCCCATTTTGTTAAAGTCAAACCAATAAAAACGGAATAGACTACACTGTACACAGTTTCACACTGTTTCTACAAAGTTGATTAGTGAAGCCTATGGCACAGAGAAGTTTTAATTCGTTTAAAGGGGCGGTGGGTTAGCCTAGTGGTTAAAGCGTTGGCTCGTCACGCCGAAGACCCGGGTTCGAATCCCCACATGGGTACAATGTGTGAAGCCCATTTCTGGTGTTCCCCGCCGTGATGTTGCTGGAATATTGCTAAAAGCGTTGTAAAACTAAAACTCAGTCAGTCAGTTTAATTCGTTTAAGACTGGTGTTGACATTCCTTTGCGCAAAGCACTGATATACCAGGGAGTGAAACTGTAAGTTATCATAACATGACGGATCTTGGATGATTCCCGAACGTTAATAAAGAAAGAAATTATGGGAAAGATTCCAGATGAAAAGAAAATGAGAGATAATTTGATGAAGGTCACAAGGGCCTGCAAATATTTGAAACTGCCGGTCCGATACAATAAGAACCGGCGTTGGGCCTCTGGGCCGCCTCTGGGCGGCGCATATAGAGGCCTGAGGGCCAGCGATTATTTCGAACGCTGCTTATGAGGCTCTTAGTATCGATCGTTCTGCAGATATATTTAGGGAAATTATGAAATATGAAGCTCTAAGTATCGATCGTTCTGCAGATATATTTGGGTATTATGAATTATGAGGCTCTAAGTATCGATCGTTCTGCAGATATAATTAGGTATTATGAATTATGAGGCTCTAAGTATCGATCGTTCTGCAGATATAATTAGGTATTATGAATTATGAGGCTCTAAGTATCGATCGTTCTGCAGATATAATTAGGTATTATGAATTATGAGGCTCTAAGTATCGATCGTTCTGCAGATATATTTGGGTTTTATGAATTATGAGGCTCTGAGAATCAGGCCTTATGACGCCTTGGTCCAATGTCAAGAAATTATAAGGCTCTGTTAAAAATGTTTCAATACTGCGACATTTTGACTTTTTTTCTCATTTCAGGAAAACAATCTACTTCCCGCCAAACTATACAATGATAATTTTATATGTAGCTATATATTTTATACATTTAGTTTATATTCAATATTTACATGTGCCTTGTGTTATGAAAGTTGGGAATGTGTACCATCACTTGTTTTGTAAGACAGTATACCTGATTGCCCTTAGTATTGCATAAGGTCTTTGGACCCAGTCACCATCATGGTTACAATTTGAGTTCAGCCATCCATTCAAATGATTGATGATTTATCACGAGATGTTATGACCTGTGCCAGATACGCCTGGTGTGTTTTCTGTGGTTTAATCATGAACCTGTTGTTGTTGGCGGACTTCCTCAGCCAAACTTTGCAGAGTTGCTTCCCTTGGTGTACCAGTATCCTGAGACCATGGGTTCATATCCCAGTTCACACTTCCACATAACACTGTGGTAGACTCCTGTTGTGAGTTTACATGGGCACACCAGAAACATATGCAGTGGGTTCGAATCCCAATTTGTCCCAATGTGTAGGTTTGTCAGCTCAATACCTGTGGTGGTATGTGGTCCTGTG